AGTTCTGTTTAATTTTTTGAAAAACTTTCATTCTGTCTTCAATAAATGACTGTACTAAGTTTCACCAACAATGTGCCAGGGTTTTCTTTCCTCTGCATCCTTTCCAATACTTGTTATCTTTCTATTTTGGAAAACAGCCATTCTAAAGAGGTGTGAGGTGATATCTCATTGTGGTTTTAATGTGCATTTCCCTGATGATTAGTTATGTTGAACATTTTTTCATATACCTGTTGGCCATTTGTGTGTCATCTTTTGGGAAATATCTGTTCAGATCTCTGCCTATTTTTAATCAAGTTTTTTTTTTAACCATTAAGTTGCTTGACTCCCTTGTATATTTTGAATATTAATCCCTTATCAAAAGTATGGTTCGGTTCGTAAGTATTTTCTCTCATCTCATAGGTTTTCTCTTCACTCTGCTGATTGCTCCCCTAGCTGTGCAGAAGCTCTTTTGTTTGCTATGGTCCCGTTGTGTATTTTTAATTTTGTTGCCTGTGCTTTTAGACTTATATTTAAAAAATCATTGCCCAGGCCAATATCGTAGAGACCTTTCCCCTATGTTTTCTTCTAGTAGTTTTACAGTTTCCAATCTTAAGTCTTTAATACATTTCAAATTGGTGTTTGTATATGGTGTGAGATACAGATAATTTCATTCTTCTGCATGTGGATACCCAGTTTTCCCAACAAATACCACTTTGAAAAGACTGTTTTTCCCCATTGTGTGTTCAATTGATATTACAAATGTGTGGATTTATATTTTAGCTCAACATCATGAACTTTTGAAAATACAAATGTCTTGGCCTTACATCCAGCGTTTCAGATGGTGGATCATTGTTTAGAATCAGGCACCCGCATTTTGTTGTTGTTTTAGAGGGAACCATATGATACATTTACTCATAGACTATTATGAAGTCAATAGTTTCCATTAAAAATAGTTGTCACATTTTTATTGACTATTTTGGGCAACACTTTAGCAACCTGTTTTGAAATAAAGTAGGTAACATAGGTCATTTTGGGCCTGAGGACTGGCAAGATGTTGAAAATTTTAGATTGTTGTGATTACACAGCAAAATTAGATGTTCCCAAATAGGAATTTTTGATTAGGAGGATGTAGATAAATTAGAAATTTGAATTCTGATAGCATATCAAATCGTTCAAGTAGACATAGCTTGAAAGCAACTGTAAATAAAGGATCAGAAACTGGCTGAAAGTCAGAGATAGAAATGTTCTTTGGTGATTTTTCAGTATAGAAATGTAAGTTAAAATTGTGGAAGCAGAAGAGCTATGAAGGAGGGAATCCAGATGGAGGTGAATATAGGCATAGAATCAAAGGAAGGTGCTGGTGAGAGAAAGGACAAAAAGAATCCTAAAGAAAATGATGAAAAAATCAGAAGGATGAGATAAACAGGGAAATTTTAAAAAAAGAATTTTTAATGGAAAATAGAGCAGTGAAGCAAAGGAGAAAGAGATTGGAGAAATATTTTAGTAGTAACCCAAGACAGATTTTTTGTTGTTGTTGTTATTTAAGGTAGTACATTGGTACGTTGCACATTTGTTAAAATAGGATGCATATCATGGATATTATTGATGCTAATACTATGCCTTAAAGACTGATTAAAGGTTTTGTACGATTTTTAAACTACTTTTAGTAAAGGGCTCAACTGACATTTGAAGGAGAAATAATTATTTTTGTTTTTTAATTTAAAAAATGATCCTGGCCATGAGTGGCGGCTCACATCTGGAATCCCAGCATTTTGCGAGCCCGAGGCAGGAGGATCACGTGAGGTCAGGCGTTCCAGACCAGCCTGGCCAACATGGCAAAATCCTGTCTCTACTAAAAATACAAAAGTTAGCTGGATGCAGTGGTGTGTACCTGTGATCTCGGCTACATGGGAGGCTGAGGCAGGAGAATCGCTTGAACCTGAGAGGTGGAGGTTGCAGTGAGCCGAAATCACACTACCGCACTCCAGCCTGGGCAACAGGGAGAGGCTGTGTCTCAAAAAAAGAAAAAAAAAAAAAAATTCTGTAGGCAACTCTGATGAACAACCACAGTTTACAGAAACTAATTTTAACACAGTGACTCATTCTCTTAATCTCTTAATTATTTATTGGAACATCTGAAATCTGTAAGCCTCTGAGCTAAGTAGCAAGTACACTGAAATTATAATAAGAATTATTAGTCAATTTTATAATTATAATCAATTTTAAATATCTATTGTATGCCAGTTGCTATTTTGAGGAAAATGTACATGGTTTTTAGAGATTTATTTTATTTAATAACACAACCAATAGAAAGGGGTTATATGTGTATATACATATGTATACAAATATATGTATATACACACGTATACATATACATGTGTGTATACGCATACACATGTGTATGTATGTACAGGCACATGTCTATATATGTATACACACATATGTCTGTATGCATACATACACACATGTATTCATGTATGTGTAAGTATGCACATACGTGTGTATATACGTGCATGCACATATATATTAGATTCAGGGAGTACATGTGCATGTTTGTTATATGGATGTATCATGTATTGGTGGGGATTGGGTTTGCAGTGTATATATACCACTTTAGAAAGGGTTTTAAAATACATACATGTATGTACTACATTTTGTTGTAGAAATTATAGAAAACAAAAAATAGTAAAATTAATCCACATAGCTTTAGAAAGACATATTTATCCTTCTACATCAAAGACAAGTTTTATACAAAGCCATAGTGGAAGTACCTGAGCCATTAGTGACATGTGGTAACCCTACTGATGGAAGGAGCCCTTGTGCATTTTTACAGTTTTCTTCTCTGCCATTATTTATTGTGGGAATAATAGCAGTCCAGTGAAAATAGTTCTGAACTATTTTCAGAACTATAAAAGGCAGCTAGAGTAAAAATTAGACCTTAACTAAAAATAGTTGCACATATTTACATCAAGAACAACGTCCCTGTATTATCATTGCTCTGCAGGAGAGAGATAAAATTAATTATATTTTTGAGCATAAATCATTATTATTATATTACTAATATATTATTGAGCATAAATTGCTTGTAGAAAAAAATAAGATCACCAAGAAAAAGTATCTAGAAAATATGCAAGACATGCATTTGGAGAAAGGGATAACAGTTAACTTATGACTCTCTCAAGTCACATGTAAAAATTTTAAGAGTAGTCCTGAACACCTGGGAGGAAATCAATATTTATTAAATGACCAGATGAATGAGTAGAACCTGTAAATCATAAATATACATCTGTTTATTTGTTAAATTTACTATGTGTATCCTTTAATGACAAACAGGGTCCTGTGCTGAAAAATAGTGATTTTTTTTTTTTTTTCTGATGGGAGAGATTTGAGTACACATACATATTTAGTAAAAGTCAATGTGTGGAAAAGTTTACAGCACAAGAGACTGAATGAGGAACGAAAGGCACATAAAAGAATAAGGTTGCACAGTAAGTTCGTGCCAAACATTAGGGCTTATTTCTAATTCCAGAATAATTTTATTATTAATGTATTCCTTAAATTCTAGAATATAGCTTAATTAAAACAACAGGGGAAAAGTATCAAATGTGACTCTTGCCTTGTAATTTTTCTCTGCAAAACTAATCTTTTTTTCTGACCTAATGTAGAGAATAATAGAGTTCCACTAGTAGATTAATCCTCTTAACTCAGTATAATAAGCCTAAGAATAAAGACACAAAGAATGCATTTGTTACACCAGAAGGGAATTGCATAATTGCTGAATGGGCAATGTGTTGTGCCAGCTACCTAAAGAACTACATCACGCAGACAAGAAAAAGTAAGATATTTTTATGCCATAACAAAGAATGTGGATGTGTAGTTTTCAGCACTTCACTTAGCAAAAGTGGGATTACAACCTTTATGGGATTTTCCCTCAGTGAACAAAAAATAAGGAATTAGAAACAAAAAAAAGAAAAAGAAACGCACACAACCTTGTGGGTTATTTACAGACCATCTATTATAATTATTTTCTTAAATACAGTACTGTTTCTTATGCTTTTAAAACATTTTTTCTCAAATTGTACATGATTGTGATAAAATGCATGTGAATGTATCTACCTGAAAACAGTGAAATGGCTCAAGATTATAGAGTTTAATCCACTTGCTTCATTGAGGGCTTTCTTCACAACATACTCATAATAAGCGTTTTTGTTGTTGTTGCGTGTTTTTGTTTTGCTGTTTTGTACCTGAGTTTTATCAAATTGAAAGGGGGAAGTTTAATAAAACCCAGCTAAGGAAGTGATATTTATATTTATAATGACAGACATACAGTTGAATTTAGGAAGTTGGATACTGTGGAAGGTAAATTACTATGTAAATAATCATTCTGTTTATATTCTCACAGAAAGGAAAGAGGAGGGACAAGGAATTTGTTCCAGTTAACCTCGTGCAGACTACTGTAAACTGGGAGCCACAAAATGGCGAGAGCTAAGCAGTTGCCCTACATGTGAAGCATGTTCGAGTCTAAGCCTGGAGAGCTGGAGAGGAGGAGCCTCATTCACCTGAACAGATTCAATCAGAATTCAGAGACTGCTGAATTTACTCTTTAAACCACATGATTATAGGTGTATAATTACAACGTGGCTAAGATGCCTGATCAGACCAACTGGTCTGAGACCTAAATAGTTCAATCAAAACCATCAGAAATAGATTCCGTAAGAAAAGGTATTTTCTAAGCTTTTGGATTGAAGGACAATCAAGCATAGGCACTATTTGTGAGACATTTCAACTTATTTGAAGTCCAGAATATGTAAAATAAATAAGTGAAAAAAGAATAAAAAATAAACAAAATTAAAATCCTACTTGATTTGTTACATGAATTCCCCATTATAAAATGGATAATAAAATTTTGCTCATGTCTTCTTAATTTTACATAATTTTGTTGGTAAAGAAAAAAAGTTTCTTGAATCATGACATATTTTATTAAAATCTGTCAAAATTTAAAAAGTCACATTTTAATATGTATATATTTCCAAGTACAAACAGTGGCTGTAACTAACTTACAGAGTTGGCTAAAATAAATTTATTTTCTTGATAGATTTCTTATCCTAGTGGACAAAATGTGAACTGCTAAAATCAAAGTGTTGAAAGGTTTTACAATGGTCGTCTCCAGCACAGGAACTTAAAAGAAATACTAAGAATCTTGCTTACATGTTAACCTGCACAATAACTTTTTTGTATCTTGAAATAATAAAAATGTATGCATAAACATGTATCTAAATTGGACACTTTGGGTTCTACAGGAAGCAGATACAGAGACAGGTATAGTGGTTTTGAAGTTGGGGCTGAAGATCAATGCCTGTGAAGATAAAAGGGAAAGGAAGCAAGTTTGGGCAAATTGGAAAAAATTTTAACCAACCCAAAGGGGATCTCTGAGTCCCACCATAGGCCACCCTAGGCTCAGTCATTGTCTGGGGCACATTGAGAAGAGGTCAGCCCTAGTACAAATGCTGCAGGTGGCCCCAAAGATGCTATGGCTGGAAGCTGTCAACCAACTGTACTCCTCACAGGTGAAAGGCAGGTGCTTTCTTGCCACACCAAATAACTTCTTAAAATTTACCTGATAAAGGTTATTTTGGAGATTTTATAATATCTACCATGCACAAACTTTCAGAAAGGAAGTTCCATTACCGTCAGAAGATGTGGAATACAAAATTGTTCCCCAAAACATCAACATCACTTGTGGATAATTGTTAGTTGCAGAAATCTCCTATACAAATGAAATATTGCGGTAAACGACCATATTATTTTAAAGATATGTTTAAGAACAGTACTTTATTGCTATAAATTTATTCAATAAATTCACATTTATAGTACATATTTATTATAAATTTTATTAATAAGAGTAACAAAAGCTATTTTCATGAACATAGACATTTGAAATTGGGGGTTATGGATGACAGTGACAGGAATATCTCCACCTAGTCTGTTTGTGCTGCTACAACAAAATACCACAGACTGAGTAACTTACAAATAGAAGAAATTTATTTTTTACAACTCTGGAGACTGGAAGTTCAAGATTAAGGCATTGGCATTGGTCTGGTTAGGGCCTTCTTGCTGCAACCTCACATGGCATAAGACAGAAGGGCAAGGTAGCCGAAGGCTCTATGAAGCCTCTTTTGAAAGAGCTTTAATCCCAGTAAGCCCTCATGGCCTAATTACCTCACAAAGGCCCAGCTTCTTAAAATCACATTGGCAACACCTGCATTTTGAAGGGCCCACATTCAAACAATACCACCACCTTCACATCCAATGTATTTTGAGGGTTTTTCTCTATAGCATAGAACCTAGGAAATTTTCTGATGATTAGTTGCAACTGGTAACCATTTTGCCTCTTAATAATCACAGGACACATGCAACAAGGTAAGGATGGCAAGATAAATGTTTGGTGCAGATAAAACAGTATGTCAGTAGTTTCAAAATTGTTAATATTTAGTAAATACTTTTGAGAGTAATGTTGATTTTTTAATAACTGAAATATATATAAAAATGAAAACTAGGTTAAAACTATGCAGAAATTCTCAACCTCACAGTTCAAACGTTATTATTCTGTGATATAATTGGGGATCCATAGCAATAACTTTTCTAACTCACTAGTGTTAAAAAGGCTTGAATACTCCTGAATAGCAATTTATATGCTGGAGGAAATTGATGAAATGAGTGGTTAATAAATTTCCCAGCCTCTCTTATGCTGCACCAGATCTTTTTAAGCACTGTTCTTAATTTAGCAATGAAATAAAAAAAATCAAAGAAAGAAAGCAAGGACATTATGTTTACATGTAAACAGTTTAAAATTATTACCTTATTTTCAGACACCCATAATTAATTATTCTCTTTTAATTGTATTAAATTAAGTGGCAAATAGATGGGATAAAATCTTTGCTTCTGTAAATTTATAGAACACTATGTTACTGCTTTTTCCTCTTCTTTATGCTATTTTAAGCAAGGTCAGTTGTTATTCTTTCTAATTATTGTTTTATACATTTGGAGGATTCCTAGAGCATTTTTTTTTTCTCCCAATAAATCATCTCTGTTCACTAATAGGCAAAGGGTCATAAACTCTTCTATGACTATGGAAGATTTAAATCTCAACAACTGTTTCTTAACTGCAGACAACTTTATTAAGAAATAAATGGAAAAAGGAAAAAATAGATTATAAGACTATAAATGCGTTACCTCAGAAACTAGTGGTTGCCTATTTCTTTGCTTTCAGCTTCATAGGGCAAATCAGTGCACCCTGCAGAGATTTGCAGGTGGAGGAGCAGGTACTCTTTACACAATTATCTACGGAAACCAAATTTAGACAATAATGGGAGGACACAGCAGAAAAATGGATTTCTGTGAGCCCCAATTCATGCAATTCCAGTGCATTTGTGCACTCTCTCTGTCTCTGTCTTTCTCTCTCTCACACACACACACATACACCCACCACACACACTCTTACATATTGTCCCACCAAATTTGTCATCAAGGTTTTATGCTACTTATTTCATGACCCTGTTTCAAAGCAGAGGTCCTTAATAGGTTTCAAGTGTGCTGAACTATGTCTTCATAGCACATAGCACCCTTGCTGGGAACCCAGGGCATACGTGGCAAATGGTGTTTCTCCTCAACCCCGTCCTCTCAGTTCTGACCTGAGACTCAATCTTCCTCCATGTACCACAGCATAACTTACCAATGTTCTCATTTTCCATTACGTCATGTGTTAACTTGAGAAACTTTGTGAAATATTAGAGATCATTAGCTTAATTGTGAGATGTATTTGCTTCAGTGTTGAGTTACTCCTTTTGCCTTAAATCTGTGCATGTCACATCAGCAAGAGGAAATTTAATACAGGTCAGGAGCAATTATATGCATATTTCTTTAGTGTTGATTATCACATAATTTACAAATCAGATTCTACAATTACTCATTCACCAATGCTTTCTGAAGATTAACCTAGGCATACAAAAATTATTCAATTATTTTTATTTATTTAAAGATTTTTAATAAACAATGAATAACATAACAGTTGTATTATTTTTTAATTTTTATTTTTCAACTTTTGTTTTAGATTCAGGGGGTTTGTCATGTGCCAGTTTGTCACCAGGGTATATTGCATGATGCTGAAGTTTGGGGTGCAATGAACCCATCTTCCAGGTACTGAGCATAGTACCCAACAGATAGTTTTCCAACCCTTGGCCCCTCCCTTACTTTCTCCTCTAGTAGTCTCCAGTGTCTATTGTTTCCATCTTTATGTCGATAAGTACTTGATGTTTAGTTACCATTTATAAGTGAGAACATGTGGTATTCTGTTCTTGCATTAATTCATTTGGGATAAAAGTTTTAAAGATAGAAGAATTGCAATCAAATTAGAATTAATTCATTTCTTTAGCAAAATTGTATTTACTTACCCATTTCTTTGTCTTTTTCTTTGAATATATATAGTTTTCATAACATTTCTTTTCTTTTTTTTTTCTTTTAAGTGAGATAGGGTCTTGCTCTTTCATCCAGGCTGGAATGTAGTGCTGTGATTATGTCTCACTGTAGCCCTGACCCTCCAGGCTCAAGCAATCCTTCCACTTCAGCCTCCTGAGCAGTTGGGACCACAGGTGCATGCCACTACTAGCGCTGGTTTGTTTTGTTTTGTTTGTCTGTTTGATTTTTTTTGTAGAGACAGGGTCTCCCTATGTTGCCCAGGATGGTCCTGCCTTGGCCTACCAAATTACTGGGATTACTGGTGTACACCACTGTACCAGGTCAAATTTTAACTACTGTATACATAGACATCTATATACTGCTTTTGCCAAGCAACATTACTAAGCATTTTCTACATTTCTTTATATTCTGCCTAACTGGCCCTATTGATGGTTGCACAATTGTCCATCAAGTTGATATGCCATTTATAACCAAATCGATATGCCATTTTGTTAACCATTGAATAAATATTCCTAAATCAATATATGTTTAGTTAGTTTCGATTTTCCCAGTGTATAACACCAACATGAGTGTCTAGATATGTGTAAACAACAATGTATACATATCTAAATGCAAAAGCAGAAATACAATTCTCAATAGGTTTTGTCAAAACGTTTTCCAAAAGAGTTGTACAGAATGTCACCGCCACCAGGGATGTGTGAGCATAACTTTTTAACAGCACCTTTGTCATCTGTGACTCTTTGCTATTAACTCTTGAGTTATGTTGAATTTTAAGAAGACTGGTGGTAAAAAGAAATCCAGTTCTTTTTCAAGCCCCATGTTGAGTTTTATCACCAGCCTTTCTCTCTGACCCTTTATCATAACGAGAGCAGCAAAAGCGGCTGGTATTCTGTGCCAAGCCTTTTATTTCCTTATGATAAAATTATTTTTGTTCCTTTTGACTTGTCTGAAAAGCCAGACTAATGTCACCTGGACCTTAGGGCTGCTTGGCCACAGCAGGAGGACACCAGGGAAGCCCAGGCAGCGTGCACAGTGACGCCTGACTTTGCAATACTAAGTTTCTTCTCCTCCAGGATTTGTCAATTTTGATTTTGCAGCTCAGTCAGTAATGCCGTGTGCTATTTGCCTCCTGTCTAAGTTACAAAGAGTCATTTTCTCTTCCAAGGTGACAAATAAAAATAAAAATAAAAATTTTTATCTTTCCATGTCTATTATATTTTCTACCTGGGTGACATACACTTTTGAGCATATGAACCATAGAAACTCAGAGGAAAAGGAGATATTGTAGAAGCTTGGCATGTTACACCATCTGCTCCTACATGAACAGAACTCCACTCAAATATTAACCATCATCATTATTATATGATAATGGTGGTTAATAAGGAAATAAATGTAAAGAATAAGGAAAAATGTTCTTAGGATTCATTATTAATATTGAAATCTGAAATTCTAGAAAATAATGTAAATAGTCTAAATAGTAAAATATGTGATGTCTTTGATCACTAATAAAATGATAAAAGTTTTAATGCAGATTTATCAACCTTTCCTTCTGGGATTGCTCGCTCATATATTGCTTATGTTCTAAATTCTAAGACTCTGTTCCCCTTTTTTTTGTTTTTATTATTGCTGTTTTAACATGGTTTTTAACTGTTAGCACACAAACCTTACATATGCATTGTTGAAATATTCACAAATGCAGAAAAAATAACAAAACAAGAAAAAGATCACCTATAATTCCACTGTTTAGAAATATACATCATTAGACATATGGGTATTGTTTTAGTCCATTTTCACACTTCCAATAAAGACATACCTGAGACTGGGTAATTGATACAGGAAGGAGGTTTAATAGATTCACAGTTCCACATGGCTGGGGAGGCCTCACAATCATGGTGGATGGCAAGGAGGAGCAAGTCACGTTTTACATGGATGGCAGCAGGCAAAGAGAGAGCTTGTGCAGGGAAACACCTCCCTCACTGATAAGTTGTGATCCTCTGTATCAGCTTGTGTGTCTCTCTAATTTTGTGGGCAATTTTTTGCTCTGTGAAACCAGAAGAGACCAGGGGCATTGCAAAGATTGTAAATATTGAAGAAAATGACCTAGGAGAAGTATGTAGCCAATGCCTGGCAATATGTCAATCTCAGGAAAGGTGAGAAATTATTAAATAATTGTGGTCATTTATTATCTATATATTGAATATCTCTAATTACCTTAGGATAACATCCCAGATGTAAAATTGGTAGGTACATATACAGTTACAGCCCAATAGGTTCTTCTTGCCCACTGCTCAAAAACTCCAAACACTGGGTGTTCCCAGTTGTTACAGGAGTTTCAGTAGAGAAAGAGTTCAAGAATTCTAGGGCCAACCAAGATGGATGGTGGGAGATTTTTCACAAATCCATCTCCACAAGAGCTCACAGGCTAGGGTTTTTAAGGAAAATTTGGAGGGCAGGGGGATAGGAAATGAGTGCAGATTGATTGGGGATGAAATCATCAAAGTGTCCAAACTGACTTTGCATACTGAGTCAGTTTCTGGGTTGGGAGGGTCACAGGACTGGTGAATCAGTTCCTTGGTATGAGTCATGGGTCCCGTCTGGGTTAAGTCAATCATTTACTAGAATGGAAAGTTCTGGAAAATCTCAAAGATCAATTTTAGGTTTTACAATAGCGATGTTCTCCATAGGAGCAATTAGAAAAGTTACAAATCTTGTGACCTCCAGCTACCTGACTCCTGAGAAGTAAGGGGTTATAGAAAAGCAAGCTAAGGAACAAGTGGTCATTATTGTTTAACTATAGCTACATCTTAGCAGAACTCAGGTCCCTCTTGTAATCCTATCCTTGTGGCCTTTCATTAGTCTTACAAAGGTGGTTTTAGTCCCTGGAAGGGAGTCAGTTTTGGGAGGAGTTGTTATCATCCTTGCTTCAACATTAAACTATAAACTGAAGTCCTCCCATAGTTAGTTTGGTCTGTGCCCAAGGATGAATAAAGGTAGTTAGCTTTTGAGGTCAGAAACAAGATGGAGTCGGGTTAGAGTTCCCTCACTATTATAATTTTTACAAAGGTGGTTTCAACAGTCTTTTAGTCTGGTTATTATGGTAAAATATTATTGCACATTTCAAATTAATTTCGTCCAAAAAACTTGAATTACATGTGTCTGATTGCTGCTTGGAATGTGAAAGTACTACTGTTGTCATGCTGTGTATGTTTGTAAAGTAGATCTTTTCCACTTTTCTTTCTGTTTATTACCTTCAAAACTTCTTGTTTGAATATCTATTTCAAAAATGTCTTCATATTTCATAATGTAGTGATTGTGTAATGACTTATCAAAATGGATCAGGTATCTTTTTCTGGTTTAGCCAAAAAATGCGAGAGAATATAGCTTATATAAAATCATGTTTTAAAGCAGAGAACTGGCTTTGATGTTAAATATTGGTAAGAACCTTTCTTATTTTACTACTTAGCTTAGTCTGGTCACAAAACAAAGACTTTCCAGTTTTTAAATATTTATCTTAAATAAATTGTTACCAATATGTGGTTTCTTTTTTTCACTTAGTATAGATTCCAAGTTATTGATGTAAATTTAAAGTACATGCTACAAATGAGTGACAAAAAATGCTCACTTCTGATGTGCAAAGGAGCCCTCAGCAAATCACCTTCAAGACTGAGGAAAGTCCTTATTTCTTATTCAATAGGCCTAATGTAGAAAAGAAAACAAAGAATAAAGGAAAAAAAGGAGGGCAAAAGAGAAAGAGACAAAAGGAGGAAGGAGAACAAATTGCCAACTCTTCACATAGCATACACACATTCAAAATCTGGACATGGCTTTCAAGAGATAATAAGAGGACTGAGAAATGGTAGAGTCTT